TCACCTCTCCTTTTAATCTCTAGGTCCAAATTCTTAGTCACAAATATCAGTTCTCCCTTGGCCAATTTCCTTCTAGTGGGGGCAAGACCTTCTTCTTTCTATCTTTAGAAAAGTATAACTTCTATTTGGCCTAATTTTTCTCAGGGTCTAAGATGGATGGTTAATGATGGCATGTCCATTAAGTTTTGGACTGATGACTGGTTACCCAATATTCATAATTTAGCTAGTCATTCTAAATATCATATACTCGAGTTTGATTTGAATACCCTTGGTACTTTATTTTTTTGCTAATGTAGATTGGGATTAGGCTAAAATTAACGATGCTTTCCCTGATTATATCTGTGATGCTATTGCTCTTGTTAGCTCTCCTAGTTTGTCCAATGGCCCAGATAAAGTGTTCTGATCTCTAACTAGTTATGAATTTTTTTTCATTAAATCTGCCTATTCTTTGATCTTTGCTCATCCTAGTTCTCCTACTAATTGTAATAACATCTTTAATGTAATTTAGAAGTGGAAAGGTCAGCCTAAAATTACTTTGTTGCTCTGGAAAATTGCTCATTGGTGTTTGCTCAATAATGAGGAATGATGTAAGAGGAATATGTCCTCTTCCTTAACTTGCGCTAGATGTGAAAATCATAATGAATCTATTATGCATGTGTTAAGGGATTGTGTTTTTTCCAAAGAGGTTTGGGATCATTTTATTTTCCAAGAAGTTTTAAATGGTGCCCTTCTCCTTCTAGACAATTCAAGCTAAATATTGATGGGAGTTATCTATACCTCAAGCAATGCTGCCTTTGCTTGTGTTGGCTTCATTTGTGATAATCAGGGGAAGCTGGTGGTTGGATTCTATGGCAAATTAGAATCTTGCACACCTCTAGCAGCTGAGCTTCGGGGGTTTCTCCTTGCTATCCAATTGGTGATCAATCAGAACATTCACGCAGTGTGGATTGAGAGTGACTTTAAGGAAGTTGTTGGTCTTATTCTTAGTGGACACGAGCTCTCCCATCTTTAGTGGTACCTTATATATAATATTAGGGACCTTTTTAAATCTATTAGGTCTATTAGGATCATGCATATTTACAAAGAATCTAACAAATGTGCAGATGTCTTAGCTAAAATAGGCCTTGAGGAACTCTCTCCCTAATTTGCTTTTACGATTTTCTCCACTTCTCTTCTCCCTTTCTTGAGCCTGGATGCTGGTGGTATTTGGCATCCTAGACTTGTTTTTTGAACTTTTTGCTAGGTCTTTTTGACCTCGTTTAATAAAAAAAAATTAACATTATTACTTGATCTCAAGTATTTATAAAATTTATTAATGATATATTTTAACTTAAATTTGTTATAACAAGTTGAAGGTATAGGAATAGCAAAATGATGTAATTTTTTTTTTAAAAAGAAAAGCATACAAAATAATGACAGTTTATTAACTACCCCACGCTCATATAAATTAACAACAATTATAACAAACACAATCACTTTAAAATTTATTTTATTAAAATTTTAAAATATAATGGCACTTTAAAATTGGCAGTGCTATCTCTTTGAATTTATTTATTTTTTCAAGTCAACGATAATCTAAAAATTTAGTAACCTTCACTAAATACTTGTCTCAAGATTTATGTCAATATTTGCAATGATCTTATATAATTGCCACAATTTAGTTTTTAACATCAATTTTGGGCTTTTTTACCATAATAAAATAAAATCAAATCAAAATTACATAAATGTCTTGTTTAACATTTAAAAGACGATTTAAATTGATTTTTTTTAAAACGAAAAATGATTTGAATAGATTTTAGTTTGTTGTGCACTGTGCCATATTTGCTTCTATAGAAGTCAATTTTAATCGATTGTGGTTGCTTTTTTTTACTATGTGAAAGTCGATTTAAATTGACTTTAGTGTAGAGAAAAAGTCAACTTGAGTTGACTTCAGTGCAGAGAGGAAGTCGACTTGAATCAACTTCAGTGTAAAAGGAAAGTCAATTTGAATCGACTTCAGTGTAGAAAGGAAGTCTACTTGAATCAACTTCAGTGCAAAGATGATGTCAACTTGAATCGACTTTAGTGCAAAGCAGAAGTTAACTTGAATCGACTTTAGTGTAAGATTAAGTGACTTGAATCGACTTTAGTGAAGGGACAAGTTCAACTTCAATTGACATATAGGCAATGTAATCCGATGGTTAAATGTAGCCAAGTCATAACATTAGTATTGGACATGAAAGGTGGATTTAATTAACATTATCTAAATGTATAAAGTCCATTAAAATAAATAAACAAATTACTACAACACGAATCAACAATTAAAACTTTTAAAATATTATTATTATTACTCATTAAATTTAAATTTATTCTAATTTACTAAGTTATAGTTTAAATGTTTACTTGCTTAAAACTATAATTATTTAATTGATTGTAATAAATAGTAAAAATTCTAATATAAAATACACTAATAGTTCTATAACCTACACTTGATTAAATATGTAACAGACATTTATACAATATATATAACAGTCATCTTAATTAGACAACTAAATATTTAATGATATATTAAATTAAAAAATTCAAATAATATAAAATAATTTTTTTAAACATTTACACGACAGTTTACTTGTAATATGATCAACAAAATTAAGTTGATTTAAATTATTATTCATCTCCATTGTACTTGCATTGTATTTTTTTCTTCTTCCTTTCTTTCAGCTGATTCTTCTCAAAGATGTTTCTTCCTTCTAGGGTAGTCATGGCGGATAGGTAGCACGTCCAAATTGGTTACAACCTCTCCCTCCACCAAAGCCGATTTAAGTTGGCGTCCTCCTTACACTGAAGTCGATTCAAGTTGACTTATTCTCTACACTGAAATCGATTTAAATCGACTTTCACACAGCTAAAAAAGCAACCAAAGTCAATTTTAATCGACTTTTGTAAAAGTAAATATGCATAACAAATTGAAATCGATTTAAATCATTTTTCATTTTTAAAAAAAATTTATTTAAATCATTTTCTTTTAAATACTAAACAAGACATTTATGTAATTTTAATTTTATTATGGTAAAAAAGCCTCAATTTTATAACTGTTAAAAAGTAATTTAAAGACAAATAAAATTGCCAATAATTATAAAATTTAACTGCTACAAATTAGTATTTTTTTAATTTGTAATGAGATAATTTGAAAATGGAGATAAGATTGATCTAAAAGCTAGGAATATAAATAATATTTCTAAGCAATAGATTAGAAGAAACAAAAATAATACCAGGCTTAGCGATTTGGATAAGATTAATAGATTTTACAGAAGATATCAGGTGTTTATCTTAACAAAAATGGTCAGTGCTACCTGTGTCTAAAACCCAGGTGCCTTGAGAGTGAAAGGATATACCTGGATTGTCCTTGTCCGTATTTATTAGAGCAGTTTTGACAAGGTTTGAGCACGATTCAGAGAAGTGGAGAATTGCCGAAATTGAAATAATGTCGTAAGGTTTTCATAGTTTTCTTGAGACAGTGTGAACTGACCATTAAAAGATTCCTTCTTTTGATTTACATCCTCCTGATTGTTTGGGGATGAGTTAGTGTTAACTATGTTACCTGTGCGTGTATTCTATCCTTTGAATTTATAGCCAGTGGGAATTCATGTTTTCGAAAACAAGTGTCAACACTATGATTATCACAAATAGGTTCAAGTATGACCACCACTTTTACCAAGACGGCAAGCATGATTTTTGCCACCACCTCTCTTGAATGAAGAAGTTTTGTTAGAAGAAGTATTAGATGAATTTTTGCTAGACATATTAACAAACACTAACCAACATCAGAAGTATCAGTGGTATGGTGTAAAATCAAGTTCCTAAACTCAAGTTCTTATTGCAAGATCACTGAAAAGACATGCACAATCATCGGTACCGGATGCATCAATATGATTTGAGAGAGTGAACTTGAAAGAATTGTCCGTTTCAAGCGCGCAAAAATTGAACGACATAACCAAAGTTGATGGATACAAAATCAATTAATCGCTATATAGTGACAAATATGATTATAAGTATGTGAAGGAATAGGCTCAAACACATCAAATTCCTCCCAGAGTGTTTTCATTTTTGTATAATATTCAGAGACTGTTAAGCTTACCTTGCTTACAAGTATAGATCTATCCTTGCAAACTGATTACCTCGGGAGAAACGATTCCGCAAGTTGCTCCAAATGTCAACAGCATTATGCATCCAAATGATAGTGTAAATCGAAGAACTCATCCAACGATGCAACCAAGAAACAACCATCGTGTAGCATTAGATCCAATTGGCACGTAAAGGATCTCTAATATGTGAAATCGGTAGTTCCATTGCGAAATAAAGCTTGTTCTTTGAGAACAACTATATCGTCATTGATCAAGCCTAACCATAGTAATTGCACTCATTCAAAACCGGATCACCAAAAACAAGAGAAAGATTCTCATTCTAAGTCATGTAACAGGGACTAAAAGGATTATTTGGAGGTTCAATAATGGTTTGCAGATTTGTTATAAGAGGAAGCTTCAATGCAGCAGCTGAAATAATGATTCTCTCGATACCATATCGGTAAACTTAAGAGAGATAATTATAAAGGAATACTCTTTTTTTGAAAAAACAACTAACTAATACAATAGCCAAGTGTGGTTTATGTACGTGTCAAAAGAATAGTTATCTAACTAACAAATAGTTAAAACTAAATAATTAATAATTAAAAATACATTGATGTAACATATGAAAAAATAGATAGTAAGATTATTTAAACACTCTTATAAATTAAAGAAATAAAATAAAATAAATTTAATTACAATAAAAAAAATTAAGAGACTAATTTACTATCTTAGTTTCCATTAAATGACGAACATTTTTTCAGCTTTACAACAGTAGAGCAAAAGCTGAAATTATTCTTCATCAAATCAAAAAGAGCATTGAAGTGATGTGAAACTTCAGTGTAAATCAAGGTTATTCTTAGAACAAAGAAAGGGTCCAGATGCCTTTGTGTTATTCTACTCAGCTATGAGTAGTTTTGCAAGAGACGCTCGTGCCATGGAGGAAGAACCCTCGATTTCTAACGCTTTTGCTGCACTATCTTTCAACTCTCTTGCTCTTTGTTTCATAACCTTTCCTCCTTCTCCTTCCATCACCATTCTCACAACTCTCTCAATCTCTTTCCTTCCAATCACACCTTCTCCCTTCACTTTCACTGCGACGCCTACATCTTCTTCCAGCATCGTAGCATTCATTCTCTGCTCTGCGTACAATGGCCACGCGATCATCGGCACCCCATTCGCCACGCTCTCCATCGTGGAGTTCCATCCGCAGTGTGACAAAAACGCGCCCGTAGATGCGTGGCGTAGAACCGTCGCTTGTGGAGCCCACGACATAACTACCATACCTCTCTCTCGCGTCCTCCCAAGAAACCCTTCAGGCAAATAAGACGTCGGATCATTGACATCGCCACCAACGTTGAAAAACGTGGCAGAGGCATTGGAATTATTGGCCGCACGAACCACCCACATGAACCGTTGGCCACTTAGTTCCAACCCCCAAGCCAACTCGGTTTGTTGTTCCACACTCAAAATGCCCCCACTACCGAACGAAACAAACAGAACCGAACCAGAGGATTGGATATCGAGCCAAGCAAGGCATTCCGGTGTAGTTTCTGTTACCGGTTCGTATTCTTTAATTAACGGTCCAATGGGATAAACCGGTGGAATGGGTATGTTCTGGTAAAACGAGTGGTCCCTCAGTGCTTTGAACGTGACAGGTTCCACATCTTGCCACGTGTTCAAAATTATTCCTTTAGCCATTGGTAAACGACCAAAATGATAAAGGCACCATTTGTATTCGTCGATTTTCCGGTTCGCGACTTGGTTCATCAAGTCTGTAATTCGTATGGGTTTGCACCCGGGTACCTGAACCGGTTCGGGAAGGTCCACGAATTCACCCTCCACATCACTGTCGAGTTGTGGGAGAAACAAAGAGAAAGCGAGCATGTGTGCGGAGGTAGTGAAGTAGATAAAGATGGGAATGTTGGGAAGGTCCTTGAAGGCATCGAAAGCTTGGGTGCAGAACATGTCAATGACTATGGCTTGAGGTTTGTTGTGTTGTTGAGGAAGTTGTGTGTTAAGGTAGTGAAAGCTTTGTTCCAGGTTGAGACACAGGCGGGTCAGGATTGGGGTCTGGTCGTTGACTATGTCGGAGAGGTCAACGGGTGGGAGATTGACGACGTGGAGGTTGGGGGGATGGTGGGGTGAGTGAACTTGTTGGTTTTGTGCGGTGGATGAGTCGGTGGTGGTGTAGAGGAAGCTGACATGGAAGCCATGGTGGGTTGCAAGGTGCTTTGCGAACTCAAGGAGGGGTGTGATATTGCCTATGCCTGTGCTGGGGATAACCGCAACGTGTGGTTTATCAGGTAAGAACTCAAGGTGCACTCTGCTTCCCATGATTGTTTTGTCTTGATTGGTGGATTCTGTGCGTTCAATCAAAATGCTAAATTGTTTGGGATGAGGATGACTTATATATGTTAATGGAAATTGATTCTATTCACCACAGTGATGAAGGGACAAAAATAGAAATTTAAAAGATAAATGATGATCATTGATAAAGTAGATCTAAGAGAAAAAGGATATATTCCTAAATGAGATCTGCCTCGGGTATACGCAATGCAATATTGCATTTTCGTCCATTCAATTGTCCATACCTTTTCTTTTTGAAAAATAGTTAGTGTACATCTCATTTTTTATATATACAAAAGGCGAAAAAAGAGAAAAAGAAAAAGAAAAAGAAAATATACAAGCATATAAATATTTTCCTTAGTTTTTCCTTTTTTTAATGAATTTAGTTTAACAACGATGAAACAAAAACATCGGTTTCAGAGTCTAACAGTAAACGTGTAATTTACAAAAATACAGCAAACTTTGTTTTTCCATCCGGAAAATCCTCTTATAGAATCTAGGTTACCTATCATTTATTATTATTTAATGTAACACGCGATATGCACCGATATATATATATATATATATATATATATATATATATATATATAACAATATTTAAAAAAATATTATTTTGATTTAATTCTATAATTATAAATAGTATATATCAAAGTAATGCAAATTCAATAAAATTAAATAATTTTAAAATAGACTTCATTTTAAAATAATATATTTATTTTATAGTTTCAATTTTTTTAAAATTAAATGTCAATAATCAATAATAATAATACATTTAAGAAATAAGAATCTTAAAAATTAACTCAGAATACAAAAAACAAACATAAAATAAGATAAATTTTTAAACATGTAAAATTATATTTATAAAAAATATAAAAATATATATAAGATACTAAAGAAAGTTAAATAACAATTTTAATCTTCAGAATAAAATTAATAAAATGAATAAAAAGTAAAATTATTATAACAAAGAAATAGTATGAAACTTGTAAAAAAAGTAATTTAATTAAATATTTCACTTTTTAAATAATAAACTTTTATTTATAATATAAGTTGATTCTTTACCTGTAAATTTTGTATCAACGTAAAATATAGTAATAATTATTGATTAAAAAATTAATAATTAAGATTATAATTGGTAACTGTTAGTTTTTTAATTTGTTAACATAAGAACACGTTATTTTTTTAAGTGTATCTCCTCATCCCAAGTAACTTGATCCAATAATTTCAAAGTCATGAATAAAATAGAAGAATCACACTCGTTCAAGCTATAAATCACACAATAATGATTAATTAGGATTTAAATACAATGACTTAACAAAATCATTTACATGCTCAATGTTTTTATTTATGATCAAGTGTATAGGCTGGAAAGCTGACAGACATCTACTAGAGAGACTGTATCAACAGTCGCCTCTATCTGTAACAATGCCACGAACACCTGATTTAACTCAGAGCCTAAAGTCTCTATTGAAAAGGGGGATAAGTGTGATAGTCATCATAACCAAAGTGAGTAAGACCTTTACAACCATGAACACAACCACAAACACTGCCCAATCCTCTTCTACTGAAATTTTTCCTGTTCTCTTAAACTCACTAATCTCATTACCAAAAAGTTGTGTCATAACTGCTGCTGACAAAATAGAAAATCTGATAAAATATACATATGTTCCTGAAGATGCACAAGTTCAAGAATCTATTCCTCCTTTGTTAAGCTCTTACAATATTTTTAGGACGAAAAAGTCTCTGACCAACAGGATCAAATTGTTGATCCTTAGAAAATAGTCTCCCATTAAAGAGTATGTCCAAACCACTAGAATGGATCAATGTGAATTACCTGTCACCTCAAAAGAGCAATATATTGATCTTGAGATCCCTAAGACATTTATAGATCACTGGAAGACTGAGGGATATACTGCTCTACACTTTAGAGCAATTAGATTAGTCCTATCTCTGCATGGTAGGAAAAATCTTTCAGTTATTGCCATAATTTCTCTTCTTGATACCACTTATATCCACTATAAGCATGCTGTTATAGCCACTTTGCTAACCACTCTTCATGCTGGAAGTGTGGTTCACACTATTTTCCCAAACTATAATGTGTCTTTGAAAGACAAGACTCTTCCAACAAGGTTGAAGGTTCAAATTCAACTTACTGGAGCTGAGCAGATTGAAGAAGCTTTATCTGCAACTCTTCATCACCAAATGATTTACAGGCTACAAAATCATGCCCATGATCTTCCTCTTCTAGGAATAGTTAATGACAACCTTTTTGTTATTGCCAACAGAAATAAGGATGAAGTTCTATCTATCATCCAAGTTTCCAGACAAATTCCTAGAGAAGAACTTCTCAAGCCAATTCCTCTTGAATGGACAACCAATTATGAGAAGATCAGGAAAAATAACAAACCAATTCAGTCCTTTGAAGCCACTTTCAGAAGATTTGTAGATGGTGGTGTTCAGACTATATTCAAAAAGCCAGAAGATGAACTTAGCCCGTCCTCCAATTGCTTTCAATCAATGATGGTTATTCTAGTAGAAGGAGAAGATAGAATTCTAGTATACAGTTTCAGATCTGATGGATCTCCTATCTTTTCTGATAAATTTGATGGTCATTTCATGTGTGATGTTGATCCTTCTATGTGTGATCCTGATTGTGATTATTGGATGCATACTGGTGATACATCTGATGAAGAATCAGATAATGATGATGAAGGCAATTCAAAGAAAAAGAAACCTTGTAAACTGCCTCCTCAACCCAGAAGGAGAGATCCTGAATTTACTCTATGGGTAAGAATAAGGAGAGAAAGAAAGCCTCTTCCTATTTATGAAGAAACCCTTGAAATCTTGAAAAAAGAGGGACTTTTGTCTAAGCCTCCTAGTGATCCTGATTTGATCACTTGGCCTCCTTTTCCAGGACTCTGCAATTCTTTTAGCTTTTCTCCAGAAAAAGTCCAAAGTCCCATTCCTTGCATGATGTTTTCAAAATATGATGAAGATTTTCCTTCGCTTGAAAGGAAAGTTGATCCTGTCACTAAGGTCAATACTAAGCCATTAGTGATACTCTCTGAAGTCCAATCTGATGGAGTTTTGAAAGCTCCATCTCAGGCTGAAGAAGTTCTCAACTGGCAAACTGAGAATTCTCTAGCTCAAAACAAACTCCTGAAAAGATGGATGGACAAATAAACCAGATTGTTGAATCCGTCCATAAGAATGATGAAAGACTCCAACACCTTTCTAATAAACTCAGAAAGTATTACAAAGAATCTCAAAAGCAGATTGCTAGATTGGAGTTAGATATCTCGAAACTGACTGAAGAAGAGGCCGTGTTTACATGAGAATATCATAAAAAAGATAAAGAAATCATGAGACTCAAAGAGCAGATTAAAGAAATGGATGAGTTGATTGCTGCAAAACAACAAAATAGGGATCATGAACTAAATTTCTTTTTTGTACCACCTCCTGTTTAATCCACTTATTATTCTCCTTTCAGTCCATCTCCTTTGTACTCTAGGGAAACGTTCACAGCACCTTCACACTCTCTTCCTTCAGCTTATAGGCCAAAACCTGAGCCTATTCCCAAAAGCTCAAAAGTAAAAGGAAAGATGAGTATTTCTTCTTCAGATACTGTGAAAACTAAATATTTAAGTTCTTCAGATGATGATGAACCCTCTCCTCCAAAGAAATCTTCAAAAACTAGTCCAAAAAAGGCATTTTTCCAAGGATTAGTAATGGAGAGGAAAATATTGCTGAAGAATCTGATTCTAACTTATCTGAAGAAGATACAACCACTGAATCCTCTAGAACTTCCAATATTGATTCCTGGAGCAATTCAGAAATATCTGAAGAATCATCTGAGACAATTTCTACAGAAACATTAGAAATGGCAGAAAAAGACTTCACTGATATTACTAGAATGATGATGGTTCATACTGTTGAGTCCAGCAATTTTAGAGGATCTTTTTATGATTCTCAAGAAGATGAAGATGAGGAAATAAATAAAAGAGATAAAAAAGGCTCCAAACTCAATGGAGGTCCTTATTTTACTCTTGATGATGTTTCTTCTAAGCACTGGAGGAAAAGACTACTCGATTTTGGCACATGGCTTGATACAAAATTCATGAAAACAGATGCTGATCCATATAAAGTCATTGAAGAATTTTGTTGCAAAATGACTGGCTCTCTGAAAGAGTGGTACCACAATTTTGGAAGTGTCAAACAAGACTAGTTTCATCAATTATCCAATATAATTTCTGTCCTTGGAACGATACACTAAGAATTTGTAGGAAATATGGATCTTTATGATAAGAAAGTCAGGCAAGACTATTTTGAGATGAAGTGTTGCTCATTAAATAAAAGTCATTTGAACTAGCACCACAAAAGAATGATGGAGAGTTTTTATCTTCTCAATAGATACAATGATACAAGTCTCAAAAACACCTATGTTGCTTCTCTTCCTTAGGAATTACAACCTGAAATTCACAAAATGATTACGGCCCAAGGAAGAGACTTAACTAATTTGAGTCTTGGGCAAATCCACCAGATGAATATTGAAACTCTTGATAAACTTTGCAAACAATATTTGTTTTTTATAGATATCATGAATCAAAGATCAAAATTTACAAAAGCCTGCAAGAAGAATTATCTTGAGATCGGATGAAAAGACAAGAAATGCGTTTGTTCATCCAAAAAAGAAAGGAAAGATCAAGAAGTTCTCGAAAAAAAGGAAGAAAAAAATAAATTTTTTTAAGAAAAAATTAAAAAGAGGAAAGAATAAAGGCACCAGATACTTTATATGTGGCAAAAAAGGTCATTTCGCCAAAAAATGTTCCAATAAAGATGCCAAAGCTCAAAATTTGGTAAATTCTTTAGACTCTCTTGAAGGAGATAGTGAATCAGAATATTCAAAACAAGAAGAAGCTAACCAAGACACTGTTTTTGCCATTCAAGACTCCTCTGATGATTCCTCAGATTCATCTTATAAAGAGAGT